ACCGGGGTGGGGGGGCGGGGGGGCGGGGGACTGGGGTGGTACCCAGAATGAGCATAAAACCTTTTTTCTGGCTTCTGGATTCAAGGCCTGAATTTCTGACAGGGCCGCCGTGAATGACAGTGCAGGCTGAACACCACCCAAGGGCATCCTGCCAGGGGACGGTGGGAGCCCAGATCCAGCCCCAAGCTCGCCTGCAAACCTTGTGCTCTGGGGTGCGGGATCTGCCTACAGGGAGGGCCATCTTTTTCTGCTAATTCTCTGAAAGGCGACTTGTGCAGCTTTCTCCTTGCCAACATCCAAATCCCTGAGCTGCAAAGGACAGGCGCTGGCGCCTCTTTCAAACTCCCACAAAAGCACCTTTGTCTCTCGCCCCCGCTCTGCCAGCTCACTCCCGAGAGCACACAGGCTCTAGTTACCCTTCTCATCTCCCCTTGATTCCGATTCCACATCACCCCCAGATCTTTGTGTCTTGGTCTGTCTACCCCTCCACCCCCAGATGTAGAGTGTAAGGCAGGGCACAACCATTCCTTACACTTGTATTTGCCATCAACACCCCGGGAGAAACCCCATCTTCGCTGGGTGCCTGCCCTGATGACCCCTCGCACAGCACAGGTGACCCTCATGTCCTCTGACTCACGGGCACACACAGGAGCCCACCTGCAGAGAAGCAGTATCAATTAGAGGGGCTTAGTCCAAAAACATGGTGATGATTAGGGCGAAGGCAGGTTCCTAGTCTTGAACTCTTGTGGAATAGACAGAATTTTAGTCAGTTCACTTGATCGCACTGCCAGAAGACACCGGAATAATTTTAAGTCTGGGTTTGTGTAACCAGAGTCCCCAAACTGTAGGACCTGGTACCTAAACCAGGTTGCAATTTCACTCTCCACTAAACAAGCAATAAACACAGGCATTCCCTTTTATTTCACGTCTTGCTTTTCCATGATGCTTCCATACTGAGTTCTGTCCCAGTCTCATTCTCTAATACTCTCATAAATGCCACTTCGGACTTAGTCTGGATAGCAGCCAAGGTTATGAGTGGACAAGGTGCTTAAATATTTGATGTTAAATGTACATAAGTACTCAGTAAAAAGTACTGATAATTTTGAGAACCAACTATTTGGTTCTGAATAACTGAACAAATAACTTTGAGAACTAAATTTTTAGTGAGAAATGCAAACTCAACGCTACCATATGGAAACATTACCACTTCCATATGAGACACACACACACACACACACAAACACACGTTAGTATATGTGTATATTATTTCCGGAATACGTACATTTAGAAAAGGGACTGTCTCTAGGGAGCTAAGAGGACATGGGTTCATAATATGCCACTGATGGTATCCAAATTAAACTTAAATTTCTCATCCTGGCTTTAAAGGCTCATGACAATCTAGTCCTACAATACACAAAGCAACACTTAGCTACTCTGAAAACTCCTTTTATTCATTTATATCACAGCCCAGGCCTTAGAAATATACACTTTTCCTGATTAAATTCTCATGTTAGATATTCACAGTAAAGGACTCTTCTCAAACTTGGAAATAAAAGAAGCCAGTGTCTGCATCGTGCTTGTATTTCATCAAGAACATAGCAATTCAGCCATTTTACTACTGGGAGATAGTTACCTTCTTTTTCGTTTCCTTGTTTTGGGGGAAAGGGAGGTGGAAATGCAAGTAATCCTGCCAGGAGCATCCTTCTAGCTGTCGTCATACATACGTACAGGCACTACTTAGAAACAGACGTACTGGGTCAAGAGCTACTTAAAGTACGACATTTTGGTAAAAGTACATCCGAACTGTGCACCAACAAAACTATACCGATTACACTTGACACATCATGTGACAGACTGTTCCTCATCTCATACCCATAATGGGTGAAATCAATCTTAAACTGTTTATCAACGTGAGGGACCAAACGGGGGCGGTGGTTGCTCTTATCATTTACATTTCCCTGATTGCTGACTAGTGAGATGAGGCTGTAATTGTGTTTGTTTCTGAAAGTTCTTGTTATGACCCTGCTTGGTTCAACCTGGCCACTTATCTTTTAGACACAGCGCTTTGAAAAGAAGTGACCTTCTCCCCGGGGGAAAGCACTCACACGGCCACGTCCTTCGCATCCGTTCACTCGTGAATGTGCACCCCTCAACCGTTCAGCAACCACCTAAAGGCCCGCTGCATGCCTGGTGCTAGCGACCCAATGACGATGAGATGCAATCGTGACCCCGACAAGTCTTAGAGCTGAGCAGGAAGAGGACGTGATAATGAATGCATGCAGGAGAGTAAGTCATCTGTGCGCAAGGTAAGGCAGGGGACAAGAGGATAATGGACATTTCATATTGTTAGCTATCTCCTCACAGGCAGTTTGCAACATTTCTCCATTTATCACAAGAGGAGGTATCTGAGGTCACACGTATTGTTCTTAACACTGTTCACCTCTTCACTCCCTCCTAAGAATTGACTTGTCTTTTATCCTGCCCAGGGGTTCTTCTCGGTGTGCTCTCTTTCAGATACTCTTTACATTTCGGAATCAATGGCTTCCTACCATTCTTCTCCGATCGCACCTGTAGAGGTAGGAGCCTAGCATTATTCAGTCACCAAAACAAGATGCAGAAATCCAGTCCTGCTCTCCAATGGCCAGGGCATCATCTCCTGCTCTTCGTTCAGCAGCAGACGAGGGGCCCTGCTAACAGTCCTCAAAACAAAGCATGCACTTTTGTCTCGACAATCTACAGTCACTCTTAGTTTCTCATTGCTACTGTAACAAATGACCACAAACTTAGGGGCTCAGAATAACACAAATGTGTGACTTGCCAGTTGTGTAGATCACAAGTCTGAAATGGGTATCACTGGGCTAAAACAAAGGCATCAGCAAGGGTGTGCTGCTTGCTGGAAGCTCAGGATGGGTAACAAGGAGCCAGGTCCTGTAGGTCCTTGGGGGCCACTGGGGGAATGAATATGGCTTTCCTCTGAGAGAAACGGGGAGCTACCGGGGGTTTTGAGCAAATTACTGATTAGAAGACCAGCATGTTAGAGAAACGGTCCAGGAAGCAGAATGTAAAAGTGGGTGACCGGTAGGATGGTAGGTCACAGGGCAAGACGGGGAGAGGAATGGGCTAGGAGCTCCTGAAGGACTTGAATATTCACTCCAAATAGAGAGGAAGGCATTGGAAGGTTCCGAGTGGAGGAGTGATGTGCTCTGGCTCTCATGTTAACAGGACCGTTCTGGCTGCTGGGTTGTGATGTCAGTTAGGAGACCACGTGGCTCCGAGAAAGGTGTGCAGTTGAGGTCCTAGGAGGTGGGGGATTCCAGGTACACTCTGAGGACAACGTGGACAGGATTAGCTAATGCATTGGATGCAGGGTATAAGCAAAAGGAGTAAAAGATGATGCCAAGGGCCCTACTTAACTAAAAGAAGGGGAGACCCTTCCTCTGAAGCACTGATGGTTCTTTTGGAGAAAGAAAGGCAAAGACAGAGAAGAGAGGGACAGATGCAGCTGGGCGGCATTAGGTCTTAAACTGAAAATGAAACAAGTCAGAACGGGGTACAGTTGCAGACTAGGCAAGAGCGTGGGATGAAACCACAGCCTCGGCTTTAAGAGCCTCTGAGGACGTTCGAGGCCAGCAAGGGAGCCACAGCCTCGCGCACCCACTACGGGGCTTCCCTCTGGGTCCACACTTCTTCATGCTCTGTGGCGCCATCTAGCGGCGTTTTCAAAGACAGCCTATGGTATGAACCTCCTACCTCCTTATTTCTCTACAGATACCTTCACTGCACGTTTTTATGATTGATAATGTACTTGGTATAGACTCCAGAGGTACAAGCTGTTCCCCAGAGCCTCTGAGGACACTGCTCCAATGTTACCCTGCATCCGGCATCGCAGATTAAAGTCTGATGTAAATGTTATTTTCCCTAAGTAGGAGACTTCTCTGGTAGAATCTGGATCTTCTCTACACCCTTATTACTCTGAAGTGTCACTACAATGTTTCTAGATGACAAATCTTATTCGGTATTGTCCACCACGGGTTAATCTTGACTCTTCTGCACTGACCCTACACTTATCTCCAGGGCTGCCTGAAGCATGATACTGACACTCAGCTATGGCCAAGATAAGTGAGGTTTGCGACCATGGGCTACTGATTATTCGGGGCAGGACACAACTAGCCTGCACCACTGTTCAGTAATCATAACTGGATTTCCAACTTGCACCTGGTTTTGGTGGCACTTGGGCAGTTACACAGGGCAAGGCTGCCTACGGAGATGGAACGTGCCTCTGTGCCCATCTCACAGATCCCACCACAAGGAGGCCTTAGCCCTCCTCACACCTGGGTGCTGCACACGTGGCCGGTGATGGCTAGGAGCACCCAAGGCCATGAGGCCTATGCCTGAGATGTCCAAAGCCCTTCAATGAGTACCGTGTTCCTACTGCTGCTGTATATACTCTACCTATTCCCAGTGGAGTTCTGTGACTCCCTTCAGCATCCTCTATACAATTAATGTATAATTAGCACAAATATGTAATAGGAGTGAAATCTATTAAAGCATGAGAAATAAAACCTCTGTAATGAATTATAACAAGAATCCAGATTTTTCCTGGTGAAAATAAACCTTTCAACTCCTCCAAAGGTTTGGTTCTTCTGAGTCAAGCAGTCTCTCAGATAATTACTTTCTATAGAGCACAGCTGTCCAGCAGAAATATAATGCAAGCTACATACATTGTTTTAAAATTTCTAGCAGTCACTTTAAAAAAGTGTAAAAAGAAAGAGGTGAATTCAATTTTAATGATATATTTTCTTTAACCTAGCATGCCAAGAACAAAATTATAACAAATTACTGATGAGATTTTACATTCTTTTTCATACTAAATCTTTGAAATCCAGTTGTATTTTTACCCTTACAAAACATCAATTCAGACTAGCTACATTCAAGTATTCAGCAGCTGCACACGGCTACCACATCGGGCAGTGCAGCAACAGAGTCTGAGACTCAATCTAATTATTCATCAACTCTGGATAACAATAAGCTACCTCCTCTCAGAAAATGGTTGATTTTTAGATCCATCCATTAATTAACCTACATGAAAATACTGCATTTTCAAATGTTACAGCAGTAGAAGGAAGTGGGTTATGAATAATACCCACCTGCCATCACAGTGACCCAGCACTATGTTGATTTCATGCTATTCCAGGAGAGGGCTGGGTTCAAGCAATGCCAATAGAGGTTTCTCTGCCTCGTGTTGAAAAATCGATCATCAACTGCTAAGACTTGCTGAATTCCAAACATTTATCAATTACTGTGAAATAAAACAACTTGCTCTTTGGCCACACAGATTTGCTCATATTGATCTTCATAAAAGTTTAACAAATATGTTCTCATAACTTATGTATTCGTATCTGGTTTAAATTTTTCTTCACAATATGAATGTTCTGATGTCTGGTAAGATTTTAACATTGGCTAAAGGCGGACATGTGTCAGTGATCACTGGCTCTCTTCGTGGTATGATTCCTCTCATGTGCAGCACCCATGATACTGAAACCATGGCACATCTGTCACGGAGTCCTTCCCAGGTGAAATTTCTGATACAATAAATTCTGAACATTTGCTAATGTCTTGGCAAATTCATAATCTTTGAAAGGCTCCCCTCCTGCACAAATGCTCTGAAGTTTATTAAGGCTGATGCAATGGTTTAAAGAATTTCCTCTCTCATTGTATCCAAAATTTATAAAAACTAGAACATACCCTAACAGCCTTCCCATAAACGTTACCTTTACAAGGTTTCTCTCCAGTGACTGTGTTTTTAAGGATAAATATAAAACAGAACTATAGAAAAACTAGAAAAAGCCAGCAAGCTTCATGGAAAGCTTGTAAAAAGAGACTACTATATTTTAAGTATAGCACATGGATAAATACTAACACATGTTTCAATCCTGAGTGAATGATTCTCCTTTTAATAATTAGTCCGTTTGAATAGTCAGTATTACAGTATCACAAGAGGTAACAGAATATTATATATAATGCATATGTAATATGTAGCCTTAAATCTAAATTCTACCAATCCCTTTACTGTACTTAAAAACAGTTAAGGCATATAAGTCAAAGAGTACAAATTACTTTGTTTCTTTATTACTGAAAGCAGGGGAGATACATCTGATGGTCCTACTCGCTGGACACTTGTCCTCCTTAAAGATGAATAGGGACTAACTGAAAGAGCAGGAAGGAGGACGGATTTCTTCAACACTTGATCAAAGTAAACATCCTGAAAATTTACATTTTGAACTCAGTTTTCTGAGATCACGGTGCTCACTCCTCACTCTCAGCAACCTCTGCCTACACTGTGCTCCCCTCACAATTCTTTACCGCCCACTCTCATCAGCACCCAGAGGAAAGTGTGTCCAGCCACCTCTCACAGTCACACGCAGTGACACCCCTGTCGGCCCTCGTCATCTGCAACACCCCCGGGAAGCACTGCCTGCACCGCACTGCAATTAAGGCCATGGGCATCTCGCCCACAACAGACTGGAAGCTGTATGACCAGGACCTTTAATATCCCCAGAACCTTGCCAAGTGCCTCGTATATAGAAGATATACATATATATTTTTTAAGAATCTATCCTACCTGGAGTCATGCAAATACCTTCAAAATTACACTTTCTAGAAAATAATTTATTTCAACAGTACTAGAGGCTATTTTAATTCCTTTGTTTCCTTGTATACGTCAAAGAATTTTTTTAAAAACAGGAGAGAAAAACAAGTCAATGGCATTACATGAATAATATGAGGCAGTTACTATTTTTCTAAGAAATTTTACATAAATTAAAACTCTGGTCCGTCACATATTAACTCAATAAATACTACAGAGAAAAGTTAACATCTCTGAAATATGGGAATAAAAATTATTACTCCGCCTTTTTTTTGGTATGTGCCATTACCATTTAACCTACATATACATTGAGGATGTGTCCTAGGAAAATGTACTTACCCTGACGTCAGTAGCGTCTCCATGCCTGATAATACTGGCCCAAGTGGTTGGCTCACTGTTGCTTTCAAAATAATGAAAGACCTTCAACACTCGCTCCATGGCCCCAGGGGAACGTTCCACACCGGTACCCAGATGAGTCTTGGTACTTGAATTCGGTGTGTGATTCAAGTTTGGGTCAAGATAAGCAGCTGCCATTATTTTGCTAGATGCTAGGTATCTGTCATATTCTGTAAAAGGAAAAATAAAATTTCAGTGTACAATATTTGAAATCTACTGACTAAAATGTGTTTTATTGATACTGACATAACAACACTGTTCTTTATTCTCTCCCTATTTTGTTACATGCAGAAGTTGAGCTCGAGGAGAACTGGGACCTAATCTACCAAGATAATCACTGTATTCCATCCCCCAACCCCTGCCACCCCCAGACCCAAAGCAGTACCTGATTCACAGTAGAATAATAAATATCAGTTAAACAAATTATTAAAAGGCCAGGATCCCTATCTCAGCTCCATCAAAAGTCACTGTGTTGGGGCTTCCCTGGTGGCGTAGTGGTTGAGAGTCCGCCTGCTGATGCAGGGGACACGGGTTCGTGCCCCGGTCCGGGAAGATCCCACGTGCCACGGAGCGGCTAGGCCCGTGGGCCATGGCCGCTGGGCTTGTGCGCATCCGGAGCCTGTGCTCCGCAATGGGAGAGGCCACAACAGTGAGAGGCCCTCGTACCACAAAAAAAAAAAAAAAAAAATCACTGTGTTATCTGTAAACAACATAACACCACCCTCCTTTTAAATCACAGCCTTTAAATTTGTGAGAAAATCTCACTGGAGAGCCAAATATGTTAATTTTGCTGCCTACTTTTGAAAACTTTTATGTGAAATACAAGTTCTTTCTTCATACACTGAAAATTCAGTCACAACTGAAAACAAAACAAAACCAAAAAGCACATATGACTAAGTTTTGTTTGTTTGTTTGTTTGTTTTGCGGTACACAGGCCTCTCACTGTTGTGGCCTCTCCCGTTGCAGAGCACAGGCTCCAGACGCGCAGGCTCAGCGCCCATGGCTCACAGGCCCAGCCGCTCCGCGGCATGTGGGACCTTCCCGGACTGGGGCACGAACCTGTATCCCCTGCATCGGCAGGCGGACTCTCAACCACTGCGCCACCAGGGAAGCCCATGACTAAGTTTTTTAAAGTGTGATAGGGGACTCCCCTGGTGGCTCTGTGGTTAAGAATCTACCTGCCAATGCAGGGGACACAGGTTCAAGCCTTGTCCAGGAAGATCCCACATGCCGCAGAGCAACTAAACCCATGCACCACAACTACTGAGCCTGTGCTCTAGAGTCCACAAGCCACAACTGCTGAGCCCACGAGCCACAACTACTGAAGCCCGCGCACCTAGAGCCCGTGCTCCGCAACAAGAGAAGCCACCGCAAGGAGAAGCCCGTGCACTGCAATGAAGAGTAGCCCCACTTGCCGCAATCAGAGAAGGCCCACGCGCAGCAACAAAGACCCAACGCAGCCAAAAATAAATAGATGAATAAATTTATTTAAAATAAACTGTGATAGGAGGACGTCCATTTGAATGTGAGGGAATAGCTCGGGCAAGACCACAACTCCCACTTAGAAAACTCAGAGAAGCCGGATTAGAAAACAAACCAGATGTTTGGAGCCCAAGACAGTAGGAGGTGACACAGATGGAGAAGGAACAGGTCCTCAACAGTCGCCTTTCCCCAAAGGGCGTTTGCCAATTCTGGGCACTCAAGACCCTGAAGAGCTAAGGAAAAGGCACTAACACACACACACACACACACACACGCACACGCGCGCGCGCGCGCGCACACACACACACACACACACACACACACACACAGTGCTATTTGTCCCTTGACGACAGCCACCAGTCCTGAAACCAAGCCCAGTGGGCACCTCCGAAAGCAGAGGGAAGTTGAAGACACACAGAGGGGACAAGGGGCACAGCTGATTATATACATCCTCCTACCTTTTGGCAGCATACAGATGATCTGAACAGCATGATGAATAAACGATCTAACTGACATATAACATACTACACCCAACAGCAACTCATCTTTGCAGGTCAAACAGTTACTAAAATTGACCACGTGCTAGGTGAAAGCACAAGATCCTTAAAATTCCTGAGAGCATATATGCTCTGTGTTGTGTCTAGCATTAAGCTGGACACCAACAAAAAGGTAACTAGCAAATTCCCAACTGTCTGGAAATTAAGCAATGTCTTTCAAGTAACTTATTAGCCAAACAAGGAACTCAAACCCTCAAAGGGTTTCTAGGGCGCTGAAAATACTCCGTATGTCACTATAATGATGGATATGAGTCCTTATACGTTTGTCCAAACCCACAGAATGTACAACGCCAAGAGTGAACCGCCACGGGAATGACGGACTTCGGATGATTACGATGTGTCATTACAGGCTCATCAACTGTTCCGCTCTGGTGGGGATGCTGACAATGGGGAGGCTGTGTATGTACCGGAGCAGGAGGCACGTGGGAAACCTCTGCACCTTCCCCTAAGTTTTGCTCTGAACTTAGAACTGCTTTAGGAAAAATAAAGTCTTAATTTAAAAAAAGCAATCAATGTAATTCACCATAATTTCAGAAAGGAGAACCAGAGTTATCTTAATATATGCAGAAAAAGCAACTGATAAAGTTTACCAAACACTCACTCATAATAAAAACTCTTAGCAAGACAGAAACAGGAAAATACCTCCTGAATCTAATGCAAGTATCTACATTAAACTTAAATTAATACTGGTGGAAAAGAGTCCCTCACCCCCGCCCCGCCCCCCAAGACTGGGACTAAGCCAAGAATGCCCAGCATCACCATCCCTAATTCGACAGTGTTCCAGAAGTCTTAGCCAGGTTCCACAGGCAAAAAAGGGAGGTAAAAACACAGGGTATGAAGGAAAGAATAAAACCATCATTACTACATGACTATGTATGAAGAAAATTTGTAGGAATCTATAGATAAACTAATGGAATTAATAAATGAATTTAGCAAGGTTGCTGGATCATAACAAAACCAGCTGTACTTCTGATATCTTAGTTCTTTCGCTCCCCAAATGAGATGGTAAGGATGAATAAATATATTATCAATTGCTTCCTGAAAAGAAACACCACTCCTCTGGAGTGGTCAGAAGAAATGATATACTAGTGATGAAGTGACGGAAAATCACTACAGTTGACCCTTTAACAACACCGGTTTGAACTGCCCAGGTCCACTTATATGCACATTTTTTTCCAACAGTAAATAAACACTACAGTACCACACAATCCCTGGCTGGCTGAATCCCCAGCAGTGGAACCACAGATACAGGGGAACCCTTACACAGGGGGCTGACCACAAGTTATACGCAGATTTTCGACTGCGCGGAGGGCTGGCACCCTGGGGCCCACGCTGCTCAAGGGCCAGCAGGACACATGACAGTGAGCGTGTCAAGGGAGGAGCTAAACCGGAAACAACACACAATCTGGATATACCTCTGTGGCTAAGAATCAATGGCAAAATCCTTCATAAACCTCCAAAAAGTAGGCCTAAACATTCTTGACAAGATAAACCACTGCTGTAACGTTGCCAGAGGGAAGCAGTTTTCCTAAAACAATGTGTCAAAATCCCATCTGTGCTGTAAACTCTCAAACTGGCAACACCTCCACCAGCGAGCCTTCCTTGGCCCTTCTGGACAGTTCCATGTGTGTGTCAGTTAACCACCACCCACTCCCCTGGTGGTGGTGTTCCAAGTCTGTCTTTATGATGGGCTTGCAGATTCTGAGAGCCTGGCATCTGGGTCACAAAACCGTGGATTAGTCAGTTTGTGGGATGGTGTCCACTAAGGAATGAAAAGTCCCAAGCGTTGCTCTCTGCTACACTGACTATTCTGTTTCCAAACAATTAACAGAATTCTCTGTTGTTCGTGTGGTTCTCTATTTGTTTTTGACCCATGGCTATAGCTGTACAATTGGGGCTGCCAACTCTCTGTGTCTCTAAGTGATAAAAGCCCTTCCCCCTCTTTTACCAGAGAGGTAGGCTTTTATAGGATTTTGTAATTGTAGCCCTCTGTAATCTGTGGCCACTTGTATTTTTTAGAACTTTTCAAGATTAACCAGTCATAGGCATCGGCTACTTATGCATACCACACAATATCTTTTTCAAAAAACTATCAAAGACGTGGAAATGAAAAGATTTTTAAAGTTGGCTTATTTACGTGGTTTAGACCCCTACTCTTCCAACTATCTGTGGTAAAGGACCACAGACCTGTCACAGACCAACACTTTTGTAAAATACAACAAAGAGGAATTTCTAGAAAAATGAAATTTCAAAATAAAAGCATACAAAAGCCAAGCACGAAACTTCTATCATCAGAGTCAATGAACATAAAATTACTGTCAAGTTGCTATAGAGGTTTCTAGATGCTTATACCAAATTCTACCCTTACTTTGTCCTACACTATTAACAGTTCCAGCACCAAGCCCAGTCTGCTGGCCACAGTTGGCCAAGTCCAGGCTCAGGCACCAGGCTGCCTGGTACACCAAGAGGCCAGCGCACTGGAATGGGAAATGGGAAAGCAGATGGCCTGTCAGTGGTGGCCGCTGACCTTCCAGCCTCAGGTCTCCCTTTCATTCACATACTAACTTCAGGGCCTAACTTCTTCTCTTCTTGGGACAAGTAGGGCAGTCAGTCCCAAGGCAGGTGTGAGGAAACAGGTACTGACAAACCTTGGCACTGAGCCCAAGGCTCAGCCCACAGTCCGATATAAATGCTCCATAAAACAGCACATACAGAAGAGGGAGAAAAGTACAAGGATCACAACGATCATCTTACTCCACAGCTGCCTAGTTTATACTCGCTGTACACACTAAGATCCCACCAGGACAGTAACTTCATTACGCTTGAAATAAGCCGGCCCTTTAATAAAACTTGAGATGCTTGCCAGAATCCGAGAGTAGAAACAAAGAATGCAAATTGATACAGCTACATTTTTTAAAAAATTAAGACATCAACAGGTTTGAAGAGTTTTTAAGAATCTGATAATGACCCTAAAGTAAATCCTTAAACAAACTAGACTAGTGTGAAAGTTTTCTTCTCCTTAATTTTGTTCTTTTACACAAGATTTGGGTTTATTTTCTCATAAAATATCTAACCTGAATATCCTAAATGTCCTATAGTGATTTTACTAGACAGAGAAGCCAA